GGTATCAAATCAGAAAATTAAGAATATATCCCGAGTGTGGATCTAGTTTTGAACATTACAGGGTGTGTTTCAATCCATGTTTGAGTTGTCTTCTATTTGGTTTTCTTAATTTCGGGGACGAAATTTCCTCAAGGTGGGTATATTATAACACTTTGTATTTTTGGGTTTGAAATTGAAGTGAGGTGTAATTGAAAGTTGTCAAGGTTTGGTGGATATGTATGGGTGCTCTCATGCTTTGTTGTGAACTAGGGGTTGTTAAGAATTGGTGAGCATAAGGTTGTTGCTATTTTTGTTAGAACGAATGCAATTTCGGGGACAAAATTTCTTAAGATGGGAAGTTTATAACGACTCGGATTTTAAATTCACATTGGATTGATGTATAGTGGTGCCAGTCACCTTAAAACTTGTACGGTTGTCGGACTCTTGATATTGATGGGTTGGCAAGTAAACTTTAAATATTATGATTGAGGACCTTGGGTGATGTTTGGAACCTTCATTGAAGTCTTAACAAGGTATTTAGATAAGATTAGATAAAAAGCCCCAAATTTGAGTTTGAGTTTTTGACCAGCCATCACTCTTTTGCCGTTTTCTCCTTCCATACTTTGAATTTGAATGTGAGGCTGGAACCATTGGAAAGCTTGTTTCCGGGGCTTCAATTTGGACACAAGAACGACCTAAAACGGAGTCCGAACGAGAGAGTTATACCTGTTTGAATTTTGAGTTTCTGTACTGAAAGCATGCTCGCTCGAGCGACCAAGTCGCTAACAGACAGTATAAAGTGATATTTTGGCCCAAAAACTTCATTTTTCATCCTCTCTTCTTCTCCCCTCCTCCATGTCCGAAAACCTAGCCCCTAAAACTTTGATTTCATCCATTCTTACCAACAATCCACCATGGATCTTGTATCAAGGTTCAAGAACAAGCAAGGATCAAGGCGTTGACCGATTATTTTGGGGATTTCATTGAAGTTTAAAAATGGGTCTTCACCCATAGCTTCCAATCTTGAAGTAGGGGTCCTAGTTCTCCTTCAATGCTTACATTAATAGATAGATTTGTGGTATTTTGGAGTATATAAATGCAAAATCTACATTTTGAGCATATAGTGTTAATCATGAAATTTTGGGGTTAGGGTTTGAAATGTTGGGGTTCTATTATTGGATTTAGATTATGGATTATGGACCTAGGATGTATAATAAATAGGAAGATTGGAACAAAAAGTAAAGGTTTAAGAAGTTTGAATTTTTCTAGAAATTTTAGATTTTTCTTGAAAACCCTAAGTTGATTCGTGATGATAAATAATGAGTTTGCCCAAATTGAAAGTAGAATCATGAAATTGAGATATTGAATTGTATATATGCAAGTTTAATTGAATTTTGGAAGTGTTTGAAAATCATGTTAAAAATTAGCGATTGAAGCTTATTTATGGATATTGTAAATCATGCTATGATATGAAATGAAATTTGGGAAAAAGGATTAGTTAATGATATGGATAACATGAGCCTTAGGATGAAATGATGATTTAATGGGGTTTCTTTATGGGGATGGAAAATGTTTGGTTTTTGGTGAAAACTCTAGAAATTTAGAGATTTTTTGGGAACATGGAAATATTCATAAAACTCCTTTCTTTCTTTGAATAGAAGATGAATGGGAGTAAATTCCATAATGTGTTTTGCAAGAATGGTAATCTTTTAAATATACTGAGTTAGAGAAATGGTTTTGAAAACTTCATGTGTAGTCCTTGATGAGACTATGTTGCTATGACTTGTGAAATGAGGAAGTTGATGGTATATGGTTGACTTGAGAAGGAATGTTATGAACCATGGAAATTTTTGCATTTGCATATCATTTCATTTATTATTGTGCATTGTGGTTCTAAATCGAAGTGATTTGCATTCATGACAGAAAATGATTTGTATGACAAATATGGAAATGTGTATGGGGTAAATACGTTGGCAAGTCCGAATAGGGGGTGTAGATGAATTTGATAAGTTGGTCTGAGTGTCCAGGATGAAAGACCCGAAAGCCGCGCAGATAGTTGTCGAGCCTTCCGGTTAATACTAGTAAAATTGACAGTTTGGTAGTGCTTGTTGCGCCTACTTGCAGACACCAGCCTAGGGATTACCAGTGTTGTATTTACCACCCTTTTTGTCTAAAATTGAAAGTTTCGAAAATGTTTTGGGTGCCCACATCCAGTCGTAATAGCCGGCAAATGTGGGGGATGGTTTTAAAAAGTTAAAAACAAAATGGTTTTTGAAGAAAATGGCTTTTATGAAAATAGTTTTTGGGAGTTCATTTCCCGTCGTATAGTAGCCAGCGAAAGGTGAAAAGTGTTATGAATTGGGTGCCCGCTATCCCGCCGTAGTAAGTCAGCAAAAGGTGGATTGTGTTGAGCTATGTGTTGATAAGTGTGTTGAGTTGATGATGTTAATTGTTGCTTGTGATGAATTTGTGAAATTACATATTGATGTGTAATTTGGTTTAAAGAGAAAACGTGCATAGGCATTATTTGTAAATGATGGAAACCAAAAATAGATATGAGGATTATAGACTATGATGGTAAACTTAATGAAGTAGTTGTGTTAATAAAAGTAAATTGTGAGTGTTGTTCTGTAATTAAATAAAGGATTGGATTGAAAGGAGTTATTAACATTGTGTTATCTTGAAATGAAACTTTGTTGGTGTAATTAACGGTGTGAATTGAGTATAGGAGAATTGTTGGCGAGTCAAAAAGGAACCTGAACTTGAAGTTATGGGGTTTTAAATTAAAAATGAAGAATAGAAAAAGAAGAATGAAAGGAATAGAGGAACATTAAAAATGGAAATTAAATGAGAAATATTTTGGGAATTGGTTAATAACCTTTAAATGATGTTGTTTCATAAACATGGTTGTTTCACAAGGATCTATGTTTTTCTAAAGTTAAGGGATAATTTTTAATGGCTGAAGGTTTTTCTTAAAAGTGTTTAAATAGTTGTGAGAAAAAGATACCTTACTTATGATATTTTGGAATTATGAAATGTCACCCTACTATATGGTATCGCCCTGCATGCATGATCATTTCTATTTGTGTGTTAGTTATTGATTGAGAATTATGAGATTCTTACTGGGCATTAGTGCTCACCCCGTTGTTGTTTTATCTTTTTACAGAAAGAAAGTTTGGATTATTTGATTGAAGATTTATGAAGTTCTTGAGTCCATTTGTATAACTTCATAGTAGATGTAAAGGAAGTGGATTTTGTATTTGTATTTATTTATTTGTAGCACAATAGGAGATTGGTATGTATTGTTATCATTGTAATGTTCATTGAGAGAGAGAAAACAGGTATCATTGTATTTCTATTACTCAAGGGTAATGGATGTTTTAAAAAAAAATAGACCTAATTTTAAGGCTTCGGTAATGTTTTCGAGTATTTAAAATTGAGGCGTGACATGCTAGGTGTAGGTATATGGTAGTGTGGCGGTTGGTCATGAATATCTGGGAAGATGGTGGCTAGAGGAAGATGATAGGATTATTAGAGGCGTACACATGTAAAATGGAAATGATAATTTAGTGGGTCCTTTTAGGGGTACTTTGGGGGCCAAAAGCTAATATGCTTTATTGATTGGGCTATTGTTTGCAGACTGTATGGTCAAAGGCATTGGTCTAGTTTTTTATGATCAATGCGGGAGCTTCAATTTCCACACACCACATTATCTCAGTTCACACACTTATTTTTGAATATTTGGTTATATGTGTGCTATATTGCAATTTTTAATTAAATATTTGTTGTTTTGCTAATCAAAATAAAAATGATTCAAGGTTAATAATTATTCATAAATTACTAAGTGCTTTCACTACTACAAAAATGCTTAAAGATCACACTTAAAAAAATTCTCTCTTGATTTTGAAGTTATGTCTCTCTCAAAGGAAATGATGATGCAGAATAAGAAAGATAGGGTTTTCTCAAGAGGTCGAGATTGAGGTTTGTAAAAGACCAGATCCCAAGGTTTTCGTCTCTTCTCATCGGTACATCCCACTTTTCTCTCTTATTCTTCTCTCTATTTTGTTCCACACTTCTTTTCTTATGTTTTGATCTGGCAATCGTGTTTATAATCAATTTCTACAAAGGATTTCTCAGTATTTAGTTTTTTTATTATTTTTTAATGCTTAAGGGTTTAGTTTGTTGCTAATTTGTACCCTGTTTTTGGAGCTCTATATTACATTTTCAATTGTCTTTTTTTTTTTCTTTTTTTTCCTTCCAAGGTTGCAATTGAGTGCATGCTACTGATAATTTTCAATAATCATTTTCATTAGCAGGTCTAGAAGGTTAAAATTTGGACCACAATGGAAAAAGAAGAACAACAGTTAGTCTATGAAAGTTTTTTTGTGGGTAATTTTTAAGCTTTATCTATCTCTATCTCTAGGTTTATATATATCTCTATCTTTAGGTTTATAGCCAACTACCATTTCAATATTTTATTTATTTATTTATTTAAGTACTGAAACGAGGATTTCACGTTACCAAGAAAGCATAAATTTGTTGTGAGCTTTTACACTGGATTTCTAACTACAGCTAAATACATTGTTTGTATTTTGGGTTTATGGTTTAGCTTGCTGATTGAATATGTGTTGTAGTACTCAAATTTCTTCATTAAAAAATAGAGAACATTATACTAAAATTTGATTTGTCATGTTTAAGGTTTAAGGTGTTCATTTGTTTCCCTGCACTGGAAATCCATGTCAAAGTTCACTTGGCATGGGTGGTGGGTTTAAATTACCCAAGATTTATGTGTTCATTCCTGGCTAAAAGACTCTTGTTTGAGCTCTGCACTTTTATCTATTTATTATTATTTTTACTACAGGTTTTGTTTTACCTTTATTAGCATGCTTCATTAGTTCACAAGTAGTAATGACATTAACAGGTTGTGGCCCTATTGAAAATGGCAATCAGGCCTGTGTTAAATGACTAATATTTCATGTTTTGCTCCTGTTTGTTTTTTTCTTACTTTTGGTTGGTATAGGCACCGATCTTGGAGCTACCGTGGTAAATTTGGAAATTGGTGTGCAATCGTGGGTGTTTCATTGTAAAAGTAACGTTTTGTCACTACAACTTGATCATTCGGTAATTATCCACATTTAAGATTCCATACAAATATTTCTAAATTGTCTATTTTCAAGTCTGCTTCCTTATTTTTTTGGATTACTAAGTGGATAACTATTTCTTTTTTTTGGTTCTGTCTAGTTAAGATTCTGAGGTTACACAAACTTCATATTAAAGTATTTGCAACACATTAATCTAAAGAAAACTTGACATAAAACTTACTTGACTAAAATCTTAATTCCATTAGGTTCCATGTGGCACCAATATGTAATTCAGAATTTGCACATCAACAGTTAATAGGCTTTGCATAATCAAGTCAACAACTTTTTCCTTGGTAGATATTGACCTCATCTCAAGATTTATAAATGGCATTACTGTACTTTTATATATTATCATTACATTTTTTATTTGATAATTTTTTATCTATTATCGTCACATAACCTTTGTTTGTGGTTAACTGACTATCACTCTATGATTTCAATGTAACAAAATCATCTCTTGTTGCAGGGACAAATTGTTTTATGTGGTTTAAGAAATGGAGCAATTTGTTTTCTGCATGTTCATGTCTTGGAATAATTATCAATTTTTAAATGGAGATGACAACTCTCTTCCGGCTATTAATTTTTTTTTTGCATGTTCATGTCTGATGATGAGTTAACTGTTGAATCTTTTAACACGTGAGTTTTCCTATATTCAAGGGCATGGATAAAATGTTTGCATAACCCTGTTCCTTCTCCTGAGCATTGTTGCCCTGTAGTCATAGTTCATACTCAGCTATCTTAAAATATTTGGTCCATTTTTTTTCCATGAGAATTGATTATTTAATCAAAGTGGTTATTCTTTTTCTATTGAAGCAAGAGATGAAGAGTCAGTGTGATGAGAAAAAGTCCGATTGTATCTTTTGTAAGACTAGAATAGTCTCTATAAATAGTTAGTTTATTCATATGCTTCTATGGTTTCTAAATTAATTTGTGTTTTCATTTTTCAGGTCAAAAATTTCTTAGAGAGATGCAAAATATGGTCAAAGAATTAAAGAACTTAGTGTTTTTTAAGTTTTTTCATTTTTTAATATATGTAAGCACAGTTATTTTTTTTTTTTTAATTTAATTCCTTTGTATATACTTTTGAATATTTAATTTTCATTTATGAAATATATGACATTATTCCGCTCAATATGCAGTTATGATTCAAAATATAGTATATAGTGTGTATTACATTCTTCAAATGTGCATACAAAAATAATATTGATTATTTTTCAAATATGTCGAACCTTTTTTTTATCACAAATTTTATTAGTTATTAATCACACTTAAAAAGTGTGATCTAAATGTTATTAATCACACTTAAAATATGTGATCTAAATATTTTTAATCACACTTAAAAAGTGTGATCTAAATATTATTAATCACACTTAAAATATGTGATCCAAATATTTTTAATCACACTTAAAAGGTGTGATCTAAATGTTATTAAGCACATTTAAAAGATGTGATCTAAATATTTTTAAATATTTTTAATCACACTTAAAAGGTGTGATCTAAATGTTATTAAGCACACTTAAAAAGTATGATTAAAAATGACCCCTTTTAATCATACTCTCAAATATCACACTTTAATAAAACATAAAAGGTGTGATTAAATAACATACATCACGCAAAAAAAGTGTGATTTTTATCAGTTTTTGTAGTAGTGTGTGATCAAAATTCTCATTTCTCATTTCAATATAATTTCTCAAGATGAATATAAATATTTTTATTCCAATTCATCTATGGGACAACATAATTCTCACACTTAGAATAATTTCAATCATTTAGTCACTTCAAGACTATATCAACATTTTGAACAACAATTTCCAAAACTTCAACAATTCTCATATTCCATGAAAACCATCATTTATAAGTAAACAAATTAATAATTTTTCAAACATCATATATTTTGGCCCACAAAATAAATATAACAACATCTTCAAAGATTGTCAACATCTTTCTTCAAAGCCCCAAATTTCTAGGTTTTCTCACCAAAGCCACTCATCTTCATTTATTGAAAGAAAGTCACCAAAAACATCTCTCTTCAATACTCATAGTTCAAAACCCTCAATTTCTGTTTAAAAGGAACAGGAAAGTAAACTCACTTTTCAAAAAAATTTCTCATCTTCTTGAATCAACAATCAATTTTCAAAACAAATCAAAGGATGATTTTGAAAATCATCTGGATCTTGCAAAAACATATATATAACTCAAATGAAATCCCTACTTATTAAATATAACCATTTCCATCCTCCTATGTCAAAAATTATGGTATAATCTTAATAACACACTTTTAACCATAACGAATATAACCTTTTAGCCAAAACTAATTTAATCCACTAAATTAGTAAGTTTATTATATTCAAAAAATTTCAAATTAATAATACCAAACCTATCTTTACATGCATCATCCTTCAAATATAACTATATTTCAACATAACCATTTTTCATGCCAAGCTATTTAAAGAGGTAATATTTTTCCCAAATTCCCTACCAATAACAATTTCACAACTTTTTCTAAAATTACCTAACCAACATGATATTTACATCAAAAATTATGAAATACGCTCAATAATAACATTTTCAAGGTTATGAGTTCAAAAGTCCACATTTCACATTTTTATTTTCATAAAATGAACACAACTTAATCATCAACTTATCATCTTTTATAAAATATCATGAATATAACACTTTTAGAGTTTTTAATCTCAAAACAACTCTATAATTCCTACTTAAATATTTACTCCATATTCCTCAACATTAATTTATTTTTCTCAAAAATAAATTCCAAATCAAAGATAAAAAAAAAATAACTTTATATTTCTCAAAATATGCAATGTCCCGAAAATTGGACAGGGTATATCTATTTTAGCAACAAAACCCACCTGATAGACAAACACATATATATACCTAACTACTCCATACATCCATTTCCATTGAATCCCAAATGCCAAATACATGCTATTCACATCTCAATGTCCCAGTTCCAATGCCAACCATGCATTTTATATAGCAAGTATAAAATGGAAACCAAACAGATAATAAGTGCCATACAGGCTTACAAATTTATCCAAAAACAATCTTGGTTACACAAAATGGAGTTTCAACTCAACGCAAATACAGCAATGGGCTTACATTCAACAAATAACCATAAAACAAAAATGTAGCCTCAGCTCCGAGTCCTCCCAAGTCAATGCCTTGGCAAAGGCATATCACGTGTACCTAAAATAGTTTCCCTTATAGGGTGAGCCACAACCCAATAGAGATATACTACACAGCATATGAACCATGACAAGACTAAGGAGGAGTACGCTCATGCCATGCTTATGATAAAACAGTTTATCTCTCTTTTTATAAAGCATGCAATGCTGAGATGCAACAACAGATATAAAGCCATTTCCATTTTAAACCATATTTGTTACATGAATACAGGTTCTATGAATCTCTAGGTGAGTGTCTGCAAGCAGACCCTAATGCACTTCCACTGTCATTTTTACCAATAAACTAGAAGGCTCGACACCTAACCGCACGGTTCTACACCCCTTACCCAAATTCACCAAGTATTCATCTTTTCGCAAACAGATACATTTCCAAACATTCTTCAAAAACAGATAGATTTCCAATAAAATGAATGTAATGCAATATCCAATGCAACAAATGAGGAATGTGGTTCAATTTACATAAGTCTCATGCATTTCTACAACAATCATGACTGCCCTCCACCGATAGCGCAAAAAAGATATTTCTAAATAGATATTTAAACAATTAAATTCCAAAAATTTTGATAAATACAATCTATTCCACATCTCATCAAATATGAACAACTACACTAGTTTTCATATCACAATCACGTCCAGTAACCTCTCAATGTCTATTTCTAACCGTGTCGGTTTTATTCCAACAGATACATTAAGCAAAATAATATTGTCAATGCCCAAGAAAACATCATTTTCTTTTCAAACTCATTCTCCAAGCATTATTCAACTATGACATCCTGTTTTGATCCAAGCCCCAAAAGTTAAACGTAATTCTTTTGTTTTCTTTAAAAATGCTCTTTTGGTCACAAACCGGTAAAAATTTCAAAACCAATTGAGTCGAAGTCTGTTTTTGTTCAAATTTAAAACATAACTTTTTCATAACCTTACAAACATATTCCAAGTTTACACTTTCGCAATTTCGGCATCAACTCTTTATTTTTCTCAAAATTTCCCTTTTAAGCAAATAAATCACAAATTTTCCAAAAATTCTAATTAAATTATCCAAAAATTCTAATTATATTATATACAACTCTAAGCTCATATAATCAAGTAAAAGTACATAAAGAAGTGTAGGAAAAATCCCTACCTCGATCCAAGAGCTTCCAAGAAAATAAAAAATTTCGGTGATAAAAATTCGGTTCGTTCAGATTAAATCGAAGCCTTCAGAACCCTCTACAATTTGATCTATGGAACTAGGGTCTAAAACCTAATAGATTTTGATAAATCAAGGATTTTATATAATAAAAATAACCAAAGAAAAAAAATTCAAAGCGAGAGAGATAACTGAGAGATGCTCAATAATAAAGAAAATGAGAATGTAAGGCAATGGATAAGGAGGGAAAAAGCCCATGTGGCTGCTACTGTGCTGTTTTTCTCCTTTTTTTTTTTTCTTTTTTTTTTCAAACAAATATCTACCTATACATATACACCTATATATATATATATATATATATATTAACTAAAAGTACATTTCAGCATCTTTAATGACAAAAGTAAATATAATATTTTCTCACCACAAAATATATTTCGTTTAATGGTACACACCATAAATATTCACAACTCGTTTATGGTAATCAAATAATAATAATAAAATCACAACAATATTTCATGGTTACTAACAGGTTACAATTCAATCAATTGGGTCCAAAATGAATGGAGTTTAATAATTTAATATAAATCCCCAACTGAGATTAAAGTATAAATTCAATTTAATTCAACTCACTACAACCTTCCCCCCTTAAGGAATTTCATCCCTAAAATTTAAACTAGATAACCTCGCTGAATCAAAATCAATTACAACCGTAGAAACACAATCATGGCATGATAACACAACCTCCCAATTAAACATAAGAAATTCACCATATTTCGTAACATATACAATGGTACGTACATATACACAGACACATTTGGGGAATATGCTGTTACTAGCAAGGAATATTCTGTCTATGGATGCCAGCGAGCATATGTCATTACTACGATGAAATATTCCGTTAGCTAACGTCATCACGCGTAAGCAAAACACGCAAAAAGGAAATAAAACACAAAAGCAAGGATACGGGGTTTTGAACCCCGACCTCGGGCTCAGCCTCTCCATCCTTAGACGTCGAACCAGACCACTTACCCAAGTCACTCTTGTGACAAAAAAAGTCAAATAAATGTATATAATACATAAATATACAATATATATACATATAGGTATATAACTTTCCATCTCTCTCTCTTTCTTTGAAAACTGTGTTTGACATGCGGCCTTGCTTTTGCGTCAGCTGACTGACAAAAGTAGACCTCCTCAATTTGTAAACTCACGCGGCCTTGCTTTTCCGTCAGGTAGCTGACA